GAGAAAGAAGCCCCCTGCCTATAAGTCACTGCTTTTTGGCAGCCACATAGATTATCATTTACAATCTAAAAATGAGTCTGTGTCACATTTATTGAAATTACTTAGCAAAGATCTCCTATCATTTTTGACGAACTAATCAAAGATTGGATGCTCAATTATTTTCTTTACAGAATTAGTTCTGTTCTTTGTCCTGAATCCATAACTTTTCTTTCCACTGGAGGGAAGAAAAAGACCTAAGACAAATTTCTTGGAAGGCGTATTATTTCCTGCCCTGGGGTGATGGGGAGCATAAAGCTGATAGCTGAATGATTTCAGTTACCTAATAGCAGCCGCTCTCTCTCCTTCAGCCAAAACATATCGACTCTTGTGTTCCGCTGCAGTCATAAATAGGAATTATTGATGCCTCAACAGTAAAACTGAACACAACAAAAAAGAGTTTGGCCAGACACCAGTTTAGTACCGCAAGGAAGAGATGTTATTTTGGGTTTTGAACTTTAAAAACCCAATCAGACTCAAAGTTAAAAATTTAATCTAAAAAATCAGCAGTTATTCTGTTTATGCTTTTTAAAAAATAGATGGGAAGATTAAATAGGCGACCACCTGTAGGGCAAAGGACTGTTCTAAATACCAAAAACAACAGGAGGGTGGGCTTTTGAAGTCTTTTCTAAAACCAACCGTTAGTGAAATCTAAAATTCTTGATGAAACTAAAAATTGTATGACTCGGTCACACGTGGATGTGGCCAACGTCGGTCGGCAGACGTAAAGATGGCTTTGACATTGCCCATCGGTCTCTTTCGGGAAGGTAAAATTAAATCACCACTTGGTTGAAAGTGGACTTCGGGACAGATCGTCTCAGTCTGCCTCCCTTCGTGCCTGAGTGTTAATCTCTGTTAGTTCCACCATTCTAAAAATCCTGCTAGAATCTATTCTGAAAGGAACGTATGCCTTGCCTGATCTGATTCATAACGGAGTTAATAGGTAAAAAGGGCGAGGTATGGTGTTTGGAATGCAGTTCTGGAAGTTAGGAGTGTTGGGGGAGTTCCTGTCTTCAGAGGTCTCTGCCTCCTGCCTGCCTTCATCGTCTGTTCGCGGCGTCGTGGCCGATGCTCCGTGCTGCAGACGGGAGGGCCAGCGGGGCTGCGGCCGGGAGGCGATCGGTGTCCCGCGTCTACTGGAGAATGCAGTAGGGACTCTCCTCCCTGGGCTCAAAGGGAAAAACCGACGGGGTGGGTCGACATGAAGAGCCGTTGCAAGTAGGTTTGGGGCTGACGCCGAAGTTCCAGCACGATCCTAGCCCACAAAACTACGTGACCAGCAGAGAGTTCTCAGAGTAATACTTTTCACCAGTCATCTTGAAAAGAAACTAAATGTGCTGTTTTGCTGTTTTGTCACTATGCCCTGCCTGGTGGCCAGACGCAGTCAGTTAGCACGTGTCTCCCACGGCGCTCTGGGCTAGGCTCTCCCGTCTCAGTCTAATGGCGTCTTTATCTGGTGACCGCTGCGTGTGACAGTGCTGTGTGCCGAATTACTCCTCGCCCCGCTTCCTTGTCCTGTTCCCATCCTAAAGATTAGTAAGACTTTCTCATCCTCTAAGATAGTTATTGTCATCGTTAATACACTTACGGCATAACTCCTAGCTAGGTCCCTCCAACCAACAGGTTGAGAAGCTACTGTCGTCTCAAGCATAATCTATTAATTTTCTGATCGATAGCGGGCACTAGCTAAAACATATACTAAAAACTATATCAGGGCTGAATAATTTGAAATTTCATGTATCATGGTTTATCTCTGTTTCTAAAATCCAAATAGTAATCAAGTTTTATACCACTCATTGATCAGAGGTACTTAGAACTGAAAGTCAGCTAACTCACTGAGCTTAACTTTACAGCTTGACATTGTGAAGTTCAGTGTGCTCGGGAAATGTAAATTTATGGGTAGATTTTCTTTATTAATGGATACCAGTGGCCTGTATTGAAGGTAAAACCTTTAGCAAATAATTACCAACTTAATTTCTGTGTAAACAGGGTAATTCCTAAATTGCTGATGGTCTTTCCTGCTGAACTTTAATGTCAAAATAAATCGTCTTAGTAGTAAGTGCCTTTCCTTATATGTAGATTTTATTCATATTAATTGAAAGTGCTTTTTCATCATTTGTAGACTAACCTCTCCCAGATTTTTACATAAATATGAAAATATCTCTGCACTAAGCAATTAATAAAAGATGAGCGGCTTCAACACGGACGTCCCAAGGTTTCTGTTAGAAGTTAGATTTGAAATCTAAGTAACTTCCCTCGTTCTCTCTTCAATTTCTTAGACACCAATTTGCTTCAGGAGATAGAGTGGCCGTTTAAAATGAGTAATTAATATCATTTATGAGAATTGAGTTTTCTCGACATACTAGGTGTGATCTGGGGTACACACCAAGCCCCCAGGTCTGCTTCGTTAAGTACAGATTTCGTAAACGTGATTGCTGTCGCTGCGCTCATTCGGATTAACTGCCTTCGCCTTTTGACCATGAACACCGACAGGCAGCATCAAAGGGAAGTGAGGGTAAAACCAGTAATAAGGGAACGTGTACACTTCCCTTCGTCTTCCTCCCTGTCCCAGGAACGGTTTCTGGCACAGGAACCGGCAGCAGGTCTGTCTAGATGTGGAAACCTTCCCCGGGTTCCCGCCCTGTCGGTCCTGACACTGCTCTAAGCCAAAGGACGCTTGACCCAGTCTGTCCTTATCCGCATCTGATCTGTTGTGTGCTGGGCCCCCGCACCGCTGTCCTGAGCCAGTCTGTCCTGCCTGGCCTTGTTTCGGAAAACTCTGAGGACACTGTGCACAGTCCCGTCACCCTCCTCTCCCCCAGATAACACACAGCCCTGTGGCTTCGACTCCTCTCTGCGTCTCTGCTTCCGCCAGGTTGGGTCTAATCGAACATCCAAATGATCATATGCATCGCATGGAAAGTTTCTTTGAAAAATTGTCTGTCCTTCCAGAGATTTAAAAATGTGCTGTGGTGAAACGTTTAATTTTGCACATTGTGGCTTTAGACCTGTGCCTCGTAGGATGTATGCTTTAAATTTTTTAATTTTAAGATTTTGCTTTATTCCTAGCCCTTGTGGTAGCCGTTCTGCGCTTCATACAGCTGAAACCAAAGGTTTTAAACCCATGGCTGAATATTAGTGGATTGGTGGCGCTGTGTCTGGCTTCCTTTGGAATGACCTTACTTGGTAATTTTCAGGTACTTCATTTGGCCTTTTTCACCTCACTCTCTCACTGGTAAGACCTTGGCCCGTGTGATCATCAAAGCCACCGACGCGGGGTCACTATATGCTCCATATAATTCTGCACAGACCTTAACAGTTAGGAGCACTGGTCCCCCCGAGCTTGTGTGACACAGGGGAGGGTGTTACCTGTGCATCTGAAATATAGCATGGCCACCGGGAAAAGTAGCTGCTAGAATATATATTTCCTACAAAA